CGATACTTCACTCAAGTCAAGCATATAGACATTGTTTATCCTCAGGCCTTTGAACACATCATCCTTATTATCATCATGTTCAATCATGCAACAATAATTTGAAAATGAAATTTTATAACCTTTGTCACATAATTGATTAATGATAATTAGATTGTGTTTAAGACCTTCAACTAATAGCACGTCTGAGATGGTAGAGAAGAAGGATTACCTACACTACCTTTGCCGAGTATAGCTCCCTTTTTATTGTCACCGTAGGTTACAAATCATTTTTTTTCCGCCACAAAGTCAATGCATAAGGAAATGTCTCCCGTCATATGTCTTGAACATCCACTATCGAGAAACCATCTTCTTTCTGTAGACTCAAGACATTGTACCAACACAATTCAAACAAGGGAAATAGGTACCCAATTTTTATTGGGTCCTTGGGTGTGAGTGAACCTTTAGTTGCATTTGGGAAACCATTGGAAAATACCTTTAGGAACCAAAAATCTACTAAATTGGCATTTGGTAATGGTGTAACCCTTCTTGCAACAATATAGACAAGTAAGGTTAACATGAGTGTTACATTTTCTATCTTTATCTCTAATCACATACGTATACTTTTGATACGGATTATTCATGTTTTCTCTAAAATGTGACCAATCAATAGCAAATGTGACATTAGATTTTAGAGCCTTATCTAATTTTCCTTTAAGAGATCTAACCTCCTTTTTTCAAATATGACAAGTTTCACAACCCCAATTTAACCAAATACTTTTGTCCTCCTCAATTTCAACTTTTGTTGCTTCCATCATAGAGTTCTTAAGAGCTTCTAATTCCTTTTCGGAATCGGAAATCTTTTTCTCTAAATGTGAAAAAATTTGCTTATTTGAAGCTAAGCGTTTAAAATCTTCTTTAGCCTCATGGTGTAAAGTATCAAAAGCCTTTTGCAATTCTGAATGAGACATTTTATTAGAGTGATCATATTTAGAGTGTCTTACCTCCTTCTTCTTCCTTTTGATGAGCCATGAGACAAAGGTTGACATATTGGTCTTCACCACATGAGCTATCTTCACTAGAGGACTCGCTATCACTTTCCCAAGCAATGTATGCCCTTCTAGGTTTTCCCGATTTTTTTTGTTGACGATTCTTCTCTTTTCTTTTGTCTTTCTTTATCAATGGACAATTCGGCTTATAATGACTGGTTTTTCTACAATTGTAGCATGACCCTTTTGATTTACCACTCTTGTTGCCTTCATTCTTAGAGGGCTTTGATTGTTGTCGAAAGTTGATGAAATTCTTGTCCGAGTGTTGAGTTCCATTTTTTCAGATATATCTATTATATCTTTTCACAAACAGTCATATATCTTTACTCGTATCTTCATCATCATCATTAGATTCACTTCCACTTTACTCTTGTGTTGAGGACTTTGAGCTAGAAGCCTTAAGAGCAATATACTTCTTGTATGTGTCTTTCACCTTCTCTTTCTTTTCTCTTTTCTCATATTTGTCAAGACTAATGAGCACTTGCTCATATTCATCAAGCTTACCAAATAAAGTTGTGATGTCCAATGTAGTGAGATCATTAGCTTCCTTGATCATCGTGACCTTTGATTGTCATTCCCTATTAAGACATCTCAAAATTTTATTAGTAGCAACTTTATTGGAAACGGGTCTTCCGAGTGTATTTAAGCGATTGATTACACGAGAAAATCTCTTTTGCATTTCAGCAATGGTTTCACTTTGCTTCATGTGAAATAGATCAAACTCTTGTGTCAAAGTATTAATTCGAGCTAGTTTGACATCATTAGTTCCCTCATGGGCATCTTTCAATGCGTCCCACATAGATTTAGCAGTAGTACAATGGAAAACTCTATAATATTCATCAACTCCCAAAGAAGATATTAGAATATTTCTAGCTTTCCAATCGTAACTATACTTTTTCTCATCTTTTTCATTCCATTGTGCTTCCGGCTTAGGCACGACAACATTATTCGCATCGGTCATGGTTATTTCCATAGGACCATTTTGAATAACATTCCATATCTTTTTATCAATGGAATTGATATGCACACGCATACAATATTTCCAATAACTACAGTTCTCACCTATAAAAATCGGTGCTCTATTGTAAGCCTCTTTTGTTTCGTTAGCCATTTTCTAAAAAGCTATATGTGAAACACTAGATGAATTGGTGCTCATGATACCACTTGTTAGAAGATGACAATGATCTAGGAGGGGGTTGAATAGATCATTAATTTATTACAAGATTCGGCGCTTAAAAATTTGTTTTTAAAAATCGTGCGAAGCGGCCGAGGAACCAAGTCGTCTAAACGAGTCGTTATCGAAAATATCTGATATGCGACAAGCCAAATAGAATAAAAAATCTAATGAGAAACTGAATCAATAGTTTGAGGATTAATCAATACAACTAATACCACTTTAGTTTGTGCAATTTTCAATGACTTATAAAGTGTAAACTTAATTTTACAATGTAACAAACAGTTTGTGTGCGATCAATTCGTCGAACACTTGGTGTGCAAAACACCCCAAGTATTGTTTCCTATGTAATGTAAGTGCATAATGTTTGCAATTACAATCCAAATGGTTGTAATGAGTTTTCAAACCAGATTTTGAGCACTACACGACAGCAGAAATTTATCGATCAATTGATATTACACAAACGTTAACAATTCGAAATAAAGAGATAGAGAAAGAGAGAAAAACATCGGATTTGTTTAGGCAGTTCCCCTTTCGTCCTTGCTTAGGATACGTCCGCCCCCAATTCTAAAACTATAATTGAGATATGTATTATCTTGTTGCAAAAGTTTATACAAGATAAGCAATAGTCACCACACACGCAAGTCTAATTGTTGATGTTGATACTATGTCTTCTCTCCCCTTGATTCAAGTCGAATCAAGTGTCTCGAACGTGTTAAACAAACATCCAGTTACCGCTACTTGTCTGAACAAACCCACTAGTCTTCAAACCTTTCACTCAGTTGATTTTGATCACACATCGTTCGAACCCAAATATTTCTTACACAATCCTCTGGTTAACACTACTTGATTGAACGAACCCACAGTTCTTCAACCTCCTTCGCTCGACTGAATCTGTGAAGCAAAGATCTGTGCAAAAACCTCCAAATCCTCAATATTCTTAGAGGACAAAACCATAACAGTTTTATTCAAGAAAAATCCACCGAATTCTCAACCCAAACTAGATGCACAATCCTAAATTTGGACATTATCACCTCAATGATATAAAAGATCAACAAAAATTGTTATGTGTAATTGTTGAGAAAAATGTAAGAATGAAGATGAAGATGATGAGAACAAATTCAGTGTATATCTTTCACTTTTTTTGCTGTTTTTTTTAAATGACGAGACAAAATGAATATATATATGATGCCTTGACCAACTAACAAATATAACAACATTTTAAAACATAGCATATCAGAAAATCAGTCACAAGTCAGCGAACGGTCGACCTAAGCAGGAAGGGGATCGACCTGAGTACACCCGAATGCAAAACTATGAAAAAAATTAAGTTATGCGTCGACCGGAACAAGGTCATGCATCGACGCAAGCTTGCTTCAAAATGACAAAATAAAATGGTTACAGTATGAGTCGATCGGAGGGTCGACGCGAGCACACCCGAGAGCAAAAGAGTAAAAATTAACTTTTATGAGTCGACCTAAGTAGCACTTTGAGTCGACTCAAACACCTTAAACTTCTAAAAACGACTTTTTGCTCATATTTTGGTTCACCTAAGCCATGTATGTGCAGACCTAAGTTTCCTAACATGATTAAATGCACACAAAACATATATGAGATGCTCCTATATGTATAAACACAAGACTTTAGAATATTTTGTGCATTGTAAAGCATGAATGCAAGCTAAGACGCGATGATACCGTCCAAATTACAAAGTATGATCTAATACACGTTTTGATATCATTAAAATAAGGACTAAGACACATTTCCCTCACAAGAATCAGGCAGTTTGGCATGTAGTGAGAAGACGTGTAAATTTTATTGTAAGGAGAGTATATCAGATAGAGAGGAGTCAAACAACTTAGAGGTAAAAGGAAATCTGAAAAAAAAAACTACTTCCTTTGTTTCATATTAGGTGTCCTCTTTAAGATTTACTTTTTAAAGATAAAGATTAATTGTGTTGATTTCAATGATAAAACAAAATTATTTACTAAAATAACCTTATTAATAATAGGCAGTAGAATAGTTATTTGAATTAAAATACAATTTAAAAGAAACAAATAATTTAAAACAAATAAAAAAAACACATATTAGATAGAAGGAGTAAAAAAAATAATGAATTAGATAAAAATATAGTATTTATTATAACAGAATTTGATTCATGTAGCTGATTTTCCTTGATGCAATAAGGGTTATTGTCAAAATAGTATTAAGTATTCATTTATTTTATTTTATTTTTATTATATGTTTCTTGACCTGTTGTGGTATGAAAAAGAAAACTAACTCCAAAAGATAAATTATTGCAGAGATAAAATAATTATTAGTTGTGAAAATAATGCAGTCAAGCGGTGACGAAACAATTATTTGAAGAAAATGATTGATGATTTTAGTTATAAAGAATCATTATTACTTAGAAAATAGAGAGGCTCGAAGTATTCAAAAAATAAATAAATAAATGATGAGACAATCTGTAAAGTACTAAGGTGGTTGAAAGACAATCTTGAAAAGATTCTTTTGTAAGACTATAGAAAAAAAAAGTATTTATTTAGAACTATGGCTCATGAAGAACTATAGATTCAAACTATATAAGTACTAATAGTATATAAATTGTCGTAGTTCAAGAACCTATTTATCAAAAAAATACAGCTACTTAAAATGATACTCATTTCAGCATTGAATAAAACATATACACAAGGGGAAGAAAGAACTCAACTATGGTGACCAAAATAAGATCTTAACTAGATTCTAATTACTGAAGAGACGCTGAAAATTCGACAACTGAGAATACGATATGTGGAGATATTTTAATCGGATCCTTGCGCGAGTCTTTGCATCTCATTTTGGTCACTGAGAGTTTCGATGAGAAGAGGAGGAGCATATTGCGCTGTTCCATGCTCTTCAGAATCCTGACAGAATGAGACAATGATGGTGTCGATTGACATCTCTATGACTCCAAAGAAAAGTGTCGCAACGATATATCCAAGAGCCCAGCAGACCTGTGTTTTAGACGATATGAATGTGAGATTCTGAATCTTGATGATTGTTAACGACTATGGTGATGTTAGATTATGGAAAACATACCATAACAGGAAAGAACGGAGATGAAATCTTGTTATGTGCAGATTTGTATTTGTGAGTGTCTAACATGAGGAAAGCGAAAACAGCACTTGAGAGGCTGACACATAGTTTTCCGAGGAATAAGATAACGTCTCCGATCACGTTGACACGTCCAATACGTAAGATGTTATTCTTAATCAAACTTGTTGCAATGGATGAAGCTCCAAAGAAACTTTTACCGGTTATAGCTATCTGCAGAAAGACAAATTAATAGAAAAGGATGAACGGTTGAATAAGTAATGAAAACAAAAGTAATATACTCGGTTGCGTTAAACGATAAACGAAATTCACCATGATATAAGCATTTCGGTTGATTGATTTGATGGTCCACTCGATACACATGAGAAATAGTTGAGATGACTGGTATGCAGCCTTCCCGAACCAGTTGTCAGGCACATGACTGGAAACTTTCAGTTTGCGGCGAATAGATTCGAGCAGGAGGCGGATCGATTCTACAAATGAAACAGTCAAGGAGCCAAGAGCCAGAGAACCAAGACTGTAACGAATAAGCCTCTTCATGGAGGAAAAGACAGAAATAAAAGGAATTTCTGGCTGCATTCACAAAAACGAATAATAAAACTTTGTAACTACCATAAAAAATTGGTTACTGAATTGATAATGATAATCGGATTCAAACTTTTGGACTTACTGATGCATCACCCTGGCCCCAATAATAAGAGGCGACGGATCCGGCAATCACTGTTGATGAGCATGCAATGAGAAATTGCGTAACCCAATAACAACCAAATAGGTGAAAGAGGATAGCAACTCCAATATGTGGTGTGTAATGGATGCTATATCCGCAACAGCGATCGCAGATTACCCTCTTTTCCATGAGGTTATATGAACAGCAGTTAGAGTGACAGTCGTTTTGAACAACCTGGCCAGAGCTGAATAAATAGAGAAAAACCGAAATCCATAACATGTAGAACACTGCAAGGATACCGTATGGTATGATTGGGAAAACAATAAGTGCTTGAACTTCTCCTATCACTTTTGCTGCAACCTTAAGGACAGAAGTTGCCATAAGGATGCGCCGAACAATAGCGATTGATGTAAGAATAGAAACAACCATTATAAAAGTCATGAGGATAGTGACAACACGTAGATGAGTCAGCTCCTGAAACCGAAATCTGTTTGTAAGATTTACATGATAAAGTCATCAGCGCAGAGGGAGAGGGAGGGATCATGGAATAAATATGTACTAATTCTGGCAGAGCGGTGCTTACCCTTCCATATATATGAATGTAAGGATCATGCTCGCCAATGATTGGTGTTATAGTGTCATTTCCTATCCATCCAACTGAAAGTAAAGAAAGGAAGGCGACATTAATCAGTATTTCATTCAAACGATGTTTACTAAGATAAACAAAAGGATTTGCCTCGATATTCAAAAGGAATATTCATATTTTGATCTTCGTTTGGGATCGTAACTTCATAAAGAAACAGGTATTTGGTTCACAAAATAGCTCGGCAAAGATTCTAACCTTTTAGGTAGTAGAACATTGTAACTGATACTATTAGAAGATCAAAGAAAACCACCGTTATCCAAGGCATTGCAGAAACAAAATGCCGGATCATAAGCAGCCAAATCACAGAGAGAAACAATGGTAGAATCCCACCACAAACAATGAGCACAGGCCATGTCTTTCCTATGTCAGCCATGTATCTCTGTAGACACAAGAAAATATTGTAAAAAATCAAATTTCAGCAACATTAAGTACACAAAGTTTCAAAACAAGTGTACTTAGTAATACAGGAAATGCTAGAAAAGGATGAACGAAAGGATAAGTAAAAACAGGTAAGAATCAAGACTCCAATTTGGATGGAATGACTATTATGCTCCATTCCACCATGAAATATCCAAACAATAGAATGACATTTTTATTCCATTCCATTCCTTTCCACTCCACTCCATTCTGCATCGTTCGTTTTAAAATATCCAAACATAGCCAAAAATATCGACCAGTTGAATGTTTAAAAAAAAAACTAACCTCTAAGATAGCCGAGTGAGAATTGATATACCGGTGAATTGACTTATCAATGACAGTATCTTCATTGATGTTAACTCCACCCAACTGCTGCCAATGCTTTAAAGACACGTTTGATGCTCTAGCAATGAATTGGCAACTCCAGTGAACTAGACAAAAACATTATGCCTTAAGAATCAGCCATAGGTATTGTTGAGAATCATTGTAAAGCCATAGAGAAAATAAAATTGAAAGACACATTAATTACCAGGGTCAAAACTCAAAGTAATACAGACATACAACACAAGTATTACCAGGCATACAACAAAACATAAAACCTATGAGCATTGAACACATTAGAATGGAAAAGCTCTCTCACCATTTACACTAGGAAATATGACAGGATAACAAGGGCCTTGAAGTTGAACAGACGAGTTTTTCATTTCCGGCGTGAGTAACTCATAATAATCATAATTCATATCAATCCAATCATTCATCGAAACACGAATATCTCCTTCAGGATAATCACAAACCCAAGTAAGTGACTCTTCAGACGGACTAGGACAGTCCAACAAACATATACTGCGAGCATCAGCAAGTTTAAACTGACTATCCTTCAACCCACTTTGATAAACCTGATTAGGGTTTAGCCAGTACTTGAGCTCCAACTCATGAAGTCCTGCATGCTTATCCCCACACACATTTCCTTTGTAGTCTAGCCCAAAAGTAAGCCTGATAAAGAACAGTATCCATCAGTTATCACAAATGACACAACCATAACAACAAAAGCAATAGGCTTCAAAATTCAAATTACTATACAATCAAGACCTACTTCCATTGCAAAGTTTCCATAAAACACCGTGAAAGAACCCCATTAAGAAATAGCATGCAAATCTCATGATTAAGTCCAAACGTGAGAATTACAAGTTAACTTGGCAATTACAGAAACACACAATGAAATAAAGTTTGAGACTTTAAGATTTATACCTTAAAGGGTTTCCTTGGTTGAAAGCAAAGCTAGAGTTAACAATCATGGCAACCCAGAAAGCAATGAAGATGACAAGAACAGCTATGTCTCTGCATTTTCTGTTATGCTTTATGATCCCATTTCCACCCATGTGGATAGTTCCATCACTTGATGTGTACCTACCAATTACAGCACCCAAAGAAGCCCTCATCTTAAAGACCGTATCTTTTTGCAGTTGTGAAGTAACAAACTTGACTCAGTTCAACATTGATGGGAAGGGACACACTCGCTTACCAGTAGAAGATGCAGACAGGAAGATCAACAAGAGACAGAAGTGGTGTGAAAGGAAAGTGTTATTTATAAACAAAAGTTTTTTAATTCTTTTTGGCATTCTAAAATTATACAGGCATTAATTATTTAATTTTAGTAGTAAATCATATTAAATTATAATTCTATAAGTTCTTCTCACTAAATTTTCCGTCAACACCTTTAATAAATAAAAATTAATTAAATAAATAAATAGATATTATTAATTAATAAACAGTAAATTAATAAAAAAAAAACCACTCACTTGTTTAGTAACTTTTTCTCACTCAATTATTAACTATGACTACTGAATAGTTTCTCAATTATTCTTTAATAATTATTAATTTAAAAAATTGTTAAATAAATAAAATATTCATAACACCACTAATACCATTTAACACCTACAAAATCTTTAATAAATAAAAATCAATTAAATAAATAAATAAATATTATTAATTAATAAATAATAAATTAATAAAAAAATCACTCACTCATTTAATAATTTTTCTATCTTAATTATTAACGGTCACTGCTAAATAATTTTTCAATTATTCTTTAATAATAATTATTAATTTAAAAAATTGCCAAATAAATAAAATATTCATAACCCCGCTAACTCCATTAACGGTCACTGCTAAATAATTTTTCAATTAGTCTTTAATAATAATTATTAATTTAAAAAATTGCCAAATAAATAAAATATTCATAACCCCGCTAACTCCATTAACAGTAACAAAATTTCTCTTTAAAAAAACTCCCCTCCAAAATTCTCTCTAATAATTCACTTATTAATTAATTTAATTAAAATAATTATTCAATTTCACTAAATACTCTATTTCCAATACTTTTATCTTATATATCTATGCTACTAAGTAAACTTTTTTGTATTTAATAAAATTTTAAATAGTTTAAACATTTGTTATTTTATATATATATATATATATATATATATATATATATATATATATATATATATATATATATATATATATATATATATATATATATATATATATATATATATATATATATATATATATATATATATATATATATATATATATATATATATATATATAATTTATTAGTAAACTATTAAGTATATCTATTAGTTTTATTACAAAACTTTTATATGTAAAATAAAATAATAATAATCTATATGAATTATATAAATGTAATTAGTATATTTGTTATTATATTTTAAAAAATTAATAGATTGTCAAAATATAATCTATTAAATTTTTTTTTTCATATACAAGATGATAACAATTTATAACAAGCGTTTCAAATTTTATTATTTCTTTTTTATCATTTAAAAAAAATTCTTTTATATATAAATTATAATATTTTAACTTTATTTATAATAATATCTTTTAAACTACTAAATTAAATAATAATAGTTATAAATAATTTTTTTTTAAAAATTATCCGTGTATTGCATGGGGAGTATGTCTAGTTACAATTTAATTAAAAATATTTGAGTAATCATGTTATTTTTTATATAAAATTAAGAAAAATAAATATATTTAAATATTATTTTAATAAGCATGGAAGTCATTTTATTTATTTATAAATAAATAATGTCGGAGTAGTAATAATGAAGATCGAATTTTGATATTAATTTTAAATTTAGTTAAAAATAATGAAATGTAGAAAAAATATTTTAATATACTTTAAAGTTTGTGATTTATGATAGAAGAATAAATTAGATGAATAAATTTAATGAATTTATTTGATTAATCTCATATTAATAAAATAAAAATATTATAAATATTTCTATTGACCATTCATATTTATGATATTTTCCCTCAATTTTGTGAATGGTGATCAATTATTTTAAGTTTAAGTTGGTTGAATCCTTCTCTATATAAATAAATCAATTGATAATAAATATCCATAAAATATGTAGGTATAAATTATCAATTAACTATCCAACTTTTATGTGATGAAATAATAGACAATCAAAATATTTTGAATTTTTATATTAAACCGAATTATATGTAATATTGATGGTCGATTTATTGTTATAACAATTTTATAGGGCCTTCACACATCTTCAAACACTTATTTCATTTATAATAATTTATAAATAACTAATGTCATAACTCTGAATTATGTTTCAACGTTTGATCCAACAACTATGTGTTGCTCTTTACTCTTCCAAGCAACAAGAGTTTCACACCAGAAGATATAATAGTTTGAAGTAGATCTTCTATCAATCAATGAATCTGCATATTAAGCATTAGTGTAAATCTTAATAGTTAAACCTCCACCTTTTTTAAACAATAGTTCTTTTTCTGAAGTGACTTTGGCATATTGAAGAACATAATCAACAACATGGAAGTGTCTTTCTCTTAGATGATGCATGAACTAACTCACCACACTAATTGCATATGCCAAATTCGAACTAGTGTGTGCAAAGTAAATCAACATTCCTATTAATCTTTGATACTAACCCTTATCAATTTTGACATTTTCTTTCTCATAGTTCATCTTATGATTGTGTTCAATAGGAACACTATTAGATTTGCATTTTAGTTTTTTTTATTTCTGCAAAAGATCAAGGCATATATTTTCTATGAGAAATAAAAATGTCTATTAAATGAGCTACCTCAATTTCTCAAAAGCACTTGAGTTCTCCAAAGTCTTTCATTTCAAACACTGATGATAATTTCTTTTTTATGTAGTTTTCTCTCCGTCAATTCATCTCATGTGACAATAATATCGTCAATATAAACAAAATGTATAATTTTCTTTTCTCCTTGGCTTTGCTTATAGCCCAAACACAATATTGATCTTTTGAATCTTTCAAATCATTCTTAAGGAAATTTAATCTATATAAAGTCTTCTTCAATCGGCACATTTTTTTGATCCCTCCATTGTATTAAAACTAGACAAAATCTCCATACACACTTCATCTTAAATTTGGTTAGGCCTTTGGATTAGTCTATTATTTGACTTTGTAACACGTAAAATTGATTGGAGGAGTCCCATAATGGCTGACAACAATTAGAAACTAGAACCTTCCATTTTAGGGTGTTATAATCGATTATGGGCTTTAAAAAATTCAGGGATTGTTTCCATATGTTAAGCCACCATTTATCTTATAAATAGAGAACTCCTTTCTCATTTTTTACACACTAAAAAATATATTTGAGATATCTTTCTCTCATTCTCCTCTCTCTATTTTATTTTCTCACAATTTGCCTTGGTGCTTTTGAGAGTAAAATCTATATATTTATGAGGTAGTTTAATTTGGTGTAGGAGCATTTTTATAATATCTCATTGAGAGAAAATATAATTTGGTTGTGAGATAAACCAATTGAAAAACTCTCCTTTGATTGTTGAGATAAACCAAACAAAACTTCTATTTAGTTAGGGAGGAATGTATCTATAATTAAAACTCTCATTCGATTCACGAGTTCAGCTATCTGTTAAAAGTTTTCTTTTGAATCGTGAGTTTAGTATGTGCTAAAAACTCTAAGTTAGTTGAGAATGTCTCCGTACTTAAAACTCCAAGTCTTGGTTGAATAGTTAGTCATTAAAAAAACTTCAATTTAAACATATTTTGTTAAAACTCTCAAGATAGTGAAAACTTTCTAAGAATAATTTTTAAGAAGAGGAATATATCCCTTTATTAAGATCAAACCTTTATAGTTTTAGTATTTTCTCTTATCCATTAAATCTTTTAATTTTAGTAATTTTTTTCGTTACAATTCTATTAGAATTTTCTTATTTCCGCTACTTTTATTCTATTTGCTTTACAAAAAAATTTTAAAGTCTATTGTTATAAAATAAATAATTATTCTAATCGTGAATTTTCGATCTCATAATTTACCCCAACTTAAGTTGTCCAATACCAGATTGAATGACATCTTATTTTCACATTGACGGGCACTCCTATGAAACTTCATAACCCAGGTCCCGCTGAAGATTATAATTTATCCAATTTTATAAATTAGCATTGAAAAAGACTTCCTAATCGCTAACTTTCACAATGGACACCCACATGCTTATCAAAAAATATAAATAAAAAAAACAATGGACACCTGCAAAGTTTAGCTATACCACAATCACGCATTGCATGAAGAGTTGTCTCAACTACACTAGTACAATCTTTACATAGCAGATCTTTTACTTCATTTGATAAGCATGTGATTGGTTATAAGTTGTCATGTTGCAACATTCAAATAATGATTTTAATTCTTTCAGGCACCCTTGCTCTTATTAGGAACACATGTTGGCATTGAATTTGCTTATCACATCAAAGACACAAGAGACATTAAAGTACATGTCCACATCCAAACGTCTTTTTCATGAGCAGTACTAAGTTGATGAATAGCCTTCAACCGATCAAAGATGTTCTACGTCATTCAGTTTCTCAACAAATCAAAGTTCCAATCACCATTAGTATCCACTAAGTCAACCACTTAGTTCCTAACACTCCTCTTAGTTTTGTATTACTACATTATGACTACAACCATATTGATGTCAAATTGTAAACGGTCGTTTCTATCAAGTATCAAACTAAATATGTTTATCATAAACAAAATTATAAGATTGAACAATACTCAAACCCATGCACATGAGTAGGCTTTTAACAAATTACAGAAAAAAGGTAAATAGAAAATAGAAGGAACATTTTTTTTCGGTTTCAGTTTTTAATTTTAATGATAATTATGTGGAGCAACCTAATTGTATCATGTGCCGAAAAGTGATGTGATATGTCTAGAACCACACAAGACTTTCTCGTTCCACGCCCTTGCTATATTCAAATAAAAAAAGTACATGCAAAAACATCATTATAATTGATATTTTCTAGTAAAGGATCAGAAAAAAAATATCAATCTGTCCTATTAAGATGGAAAATAATAGCCACCTTTTCATTGCATGTATAGCTTGGACAGTTTGGAGATGCTTGTTCACATACAAACTCAAATCTTCCACCACAAAGCAATACCTCTATATTAGCAATGATAGCACCATGCGCCAATGTTGAATATTTTACTCTGGTATTTCAATAGATAAAACCCAAACCCATCCATTGCGCAATATATTCTAAGACGCCATGATATCCGTGAAATGAGATTGTCATGATAACAAAATCATAAGACCCCATGACCTCATTCATATCCACGAAAAGATGTCCTAAACCGACTACACGGCAGCATCAGGGTCCAACCTTCGCTGGATTGCGGCAGCAGCCTATAGTGATAAAATTTGTAGCAAATTTAGTTGAGGCTCAAGCTAAAAGCCATGGTCCAAATAGACTTGAATTTTTAATTCTTACCTCAAAGTTGCCAAGCTTGTACTGGTAAGCCATCTCCTCCCTGAGTTGAGCTTGCTCTTTCATTGCTTGTGCCTGCAAAATTATTGCACAAAAAGGTGAGAACAGAACCTTTTCATTTACAAAATGAATAGCATTCAGATTGCATAGAGGCTGTCTGGTATAAACTAACCATTCCACTTTCCATTTCGCGCTTCAAAGCTATTACTTGCTCTTCCTTATGTTTTTCACGTGCTTGCAACAACTCTTGTCTGCAGGTTCATTGAAAAATGATTATGAAATGGTGAAACATTTGTGTCAACACGCGTCCCATAGTTCCATTTGAAGAGCAGTAAGGTTTTTGGCTATCATATACCAACACAACAGTAATGAAAGCTTCAAGAATTTATTAAAGGTATACTTTTGCAATGAAAAGCAATTGACAGTGTTTGAAAAGAAATGAGCCATTAAAAAATCTAGCATATCATAAATTGAAACATGAGAAAACCAATTTAAGATTCATTAGTAAAGCAGCATAATCAAAATCCTACCTGCGCTGTTCTTCATCATTGAAAACAGTTCGTTCTTTTGCCTTAACCTTTTTAATACCCTTTTTCATCTCTTTTTCCATTTGACGTCTGTAGTAAGCATCAAGACTATAATACCTGCCAAACTAACATATTAAAGCATTTGCCAACCCAAATGAATTATCAAGATTTTAAATTCATTTCATCATTGGAGAACAAGATGTGCATGGCTGTATTCCTATTCACAAAAACGAGGACAAAAAAGTGAAATTAAACTTTTGCAAGAGCTTACTTTTTGGAAGGGAAGGTAGCTGTGTTGTGATCCTCCATAAATCTAAAACCAGAAATTATACACAAATTAACTTAAAATCATCAGCATAGTAACAAATGTAATGTGTGATGTAATAAAAAATTAATACGTAAACAATCCGCGAGTCAATAAGTCAATTAACGTATGTGAATAAAGAATGAGTGTCCTTTTCTCTTGTGACACATTAAGAGTATACATAACAATTAACAGACAACTAAATTAATGTGATGCTTACTCTTTAAACATCTGTTTTTCTTCCCAATTAGATAGATGCTCCATATTCACCTGTTAAAAAACAGCAAAATTACAAATGGATGTGGTCCACGTAAATTTGAATGCCAAAATACGAAGGAAAAAAGATATTATGCATTTCATTTGAAAGGAAAAGAAATTTAGTCCAACAGGCAAGAAAAATATGCAATCTAATCCGTTTTAAAATTGTGGTTTATCAATGTCACCTACATATATTAGAAAGAAGATAAACAAGTTGTGTGAAGAAAACAAGTAAAACATCTCCCGGGATGATGTAAAGACGTAAAGAAGTAACCAGTTTAATTTTTTGCAAACAGAAGCAACTAGTTTAATTTTTTGCAAACTGAAGAGAAGAAAACACGGTAAAAGGAAGATGAAATATAATAATAGTGTTAGATTATAATATAGATAGCAAACCAAAATAATTACCAGCTTTACTTCTGCCAACCAGGCAGTGAACTCTGGACGTTTGTTCCTGCAATTTTCAAAACATCACTCAGACAAAGTATACCAAGACAAGGTTCAGAAGATATCAATGTTAAATTTAAATTAGCAAGATAATAAATGCAAACTGGCCAAAAGTACAAGTTGATTTACTTCAGCATGTCCTTTAGAACGTAGGTACTTAAAGAACTTTTCATAACAACAGATAAGCTTTGCTTATTAATAACACTATGATTTGATAATTCAAATCTTACTAAAATAATACATTGAAGATTCCATAAGCAAATCAAAAATATGACCATATTATCATTTCAAGATGTTAAATGGAAGTGTTGACACAATGGCTAGAGACTTGCAGTTGCTGCCATGTTACCGCAGGCAGCATATCAAGTCGCATAATCATCATCTTGCAGATTAAGGTAGCCAACAACAGATCTGTAGTGGACCTTTCTGTTCCCTAGACCAGCTATAATAATAGGTTGTTCATTCAATTCAATACCAATCACATGCCAACAATATGAATAGTTTTTTAAACAGAAAAGTACACACCTAGATGTAAAATCTTGCTAATGCATAACCCATCTATATTCCTATGCAGTGTAGTCAAGATCGAGTGTTGGATCGTAAGATTTTACATGCTAAGGATACCCAAGTGTTCTACGATCAGAGAAAGATCATTTACGCCGCCAGCGAGGTCAAGATCGAGCTTTTTGAAGCAAAATGGAGAAAAAATGTTTTGGGTTTTGTTTGGGCCAGTATTACAATTTTCATGTTTTTGTGTATGTGTGTATATATATACATATGAAATTACCCTTTTCCCTTCGGTTGGATATTACGTCTGTGCTAACAATCCGAGTTTTACGATCTTTCACAAGCCGGCCAATCCTACTTAAGTTCTCGTGCTTGACTACATTGTTCCTATGTTTTAACTCATTCAACTACAATCCACCAGTCATGAACTCCGGCTGCTATTTCCTCTACATAACTAAGTCATCTAGCTACTGCCAAAAACTACATTCATCCTCCATGATTCAATAACTTGAGGCACAATTCCATAAAGTTACAAAGTGTTGTTAAAATGGTATAGTTTCTCAAAAAGCGAAATATTTTACATCAAGCTAGAACTTGAATTTGTTGAAGTGTTGTTGTCTTTCAGTTCAATCCTTGTCCAGTTTGTGTCAAGAAAACAACTCTGAATACCGCTATTACTTATAAGTATAACTTATAACACTTCTCCAATCTTAATGATTCACATACAAATAGTTAAAAGCACAACAACAACAGTCAATCTAGAATCTTTCAATCAAAGTTTACAACCCTAGTACAAAAATAACAATTCACCTAACCACTTTCACATTCCAATCCCATGAAATTTCTCTACATAAAACTCACATGCAAAATCTGAGCAATAAATCATTGGCCGTGGATTTCAAAATCTACATTATATTCTACCACATTCTTAGTTTCCTTCAAACAATGAATAAAAATCAACCTCCATGACAACATAATTCAATAATTAACCACAAAACACATTAATCTCTAATAATTCAATCAACAGACACATAAAAATTGAAGAAATTTTATAAAGGAAAAGCAAAAATCTCTTACCACATATCAGTTTCTCTAATAATACCATACTTTCCCCATAAATTAGTCACAGCTCCTTTCTTCCCTCTCTCCTTTTTCTCCTTCTTCAGTTTCCGTTTCTCTTTCTTCCTTCTCTCCTCTTCTTTCTCCTTCTTCCTCCTCTTCTTCTCCTTCTCTCTCCTCCTCCTCTTCTCTTCCTCCCTCTCTCTCCTCCTCTTCTCCCTCCTCCTCCTCTCCTTCCTCTCTCCCTCACTCCCCGTCTCCGATTTCGAATCCGAATAATCCGTCTCCGAACCCGACACTTCGGAATTGTCACTCTCAGAATCCGAACCTGAACGGGAATCCGAATTAGATTCAGAATCACTATATCGCTTACGTGATTTCCTCTTCTTCCTGCGTCCTTCAGAATCCGAATCAGATTCAGAATCACTACTGTATCGCTTACGCGATTTCCTCTTCTTCCTGCTTCGTTTATCGCCGTCGGAATCCGAACTATCGCGTGATTTCCTCCGCGAACTTCTGTGCTTTCTATTGGCTTCTGTGTCTACGTCGGAATCTTCTCGTGTTTTCCTCGAATATCTTTTTGACGGCGCTTCGGCTTCGGTTTTCTCTGAGCTTGTGGCGATTTTCGGCGGAACACCGTCACCATTAACATCTCTCATTTTCGCGTGGCTTTGCAGTGTCAGAGTGACTGAGTCGAGGCTCAGAATTAACTCGGAAGACGTTGGCCTGTTTATTGGAATGGGCTTAAGCTCAATAATTTATTTGGCCTATCAATTAACTCAGATTTGAAGATTTCTTAAGGCACCTTCGGCTTTCTTAGACACCGTAAGTATTTTATAATAGTTTTAATTATTTAGATATATCTTTGAACGCATCTATTTTATACTTAATAAAAATCATTCTAAATGGGATCTTATACATTTGAATTTGATAGGTTTCGAAGATATATCTCTGAAACAATACTGTAATTATGTTTTCGAAACAAAACCAGAGACAGAATTAACACAAAATAAACTTTCTAAACATAAAATGAGCATTCATAACATAAGATGATTATTATAATGATGATTTCAACAGAAAATTAAATACTACATTTCAATATCTCAGTGGACGTTTGCACATCTCCAAGATATCTTCGACAGATCCTCGTAGTGTCGCTTTCATCTCGAGCGAAATTTTCTCTTTGAAATCGAAAAAGGTTCGTCACATAGCCATAACATCTACTCGAGTATTTAGCTCAAATTTGTTGAACACAATGTTCCTTTCGTTGTCAACTGAGGGTGAACGATACTCAAGCTTGACAACTCATTGTGTGTCTTCGTAAGGTATAAGATATTAATTTCGTCTATGATACCGTCGAGGGAGGTGTTGGCTGAAAATTAGCCAACTAGGAGCATCGACCTCGACAGAAGCAAGGGGAAGGAAGAGTGAAGACCGACAAACTCCTTGCATAAAAGCCAAGGGTCGACAGCAATAAAGCTTGGCAGCATCACACCATGAATCGACACCGTAAGGTGGATGGATCGACGGACCCCTGCGTCGATCGACCCAGAGAAGAAGACCAACAAGGGTGTTCTCGACGGGAGAAGTTAGTGCCTGGAGGGAAACCATTTTGAAAAGAGAAATGTGGAGGTAGTTTTCCAGAGACGTGGGATGACACGTGGCGCACCCTGAAGCCTTTTGGTAGTTATTTTGTACGTCTATATAAAGCAAGGTTTTGCTAGGAAATAAGGACGTCTTTTGTCAGTATTGGAAGAAAAATACTCTGAGTACCGCACTAGAGAGTAAAGAGTTTACTTTGTCATTCCAAAATGTACGAAAACGTCCAGTTGTCTTTTTCCTTTTTGCATTAAGTTTACCAAGTATTCATGTTATTTAAAGTACCATTTGTTTCAGAATCTCTTTAACGTTTTTGCTTCAGCATTTGCTTTATCTTTGTCAAACTTTATTTGCTTAGAGTTTAAACGTACACACACCACGATGCACATAACCGTCAAGGTGCACCATAACCCAAGTAAACGATAAACCCAAAACCAATTATTCTGGGACTAGTTTGGCCGGTCGCACAAGAAAACCCGCGGAGGAAGGTCAGAGATTGTTCGCGCGAAAAACATGTGCGAACTGTCGCACCCTAATTTTTGACCATAAGATTCCGCGTCCTTGTGCTTACTTCCTGCTTGTTTATTTTATTATGCGAATGTTTATTACGGCTAACAGGTTTTTTGCAGATACAGTGGTGTCAAGCACTTCAAGGTGTGACTGTTGGGTTATAAGGATCCAAGGATCTTTCTTTCGTTTGTCCAAGTCGAATACAAGCTTTGGGCATGTCATGTAGCTCGTGATGAAATAGAGAGGTCCTAGACTTTATCCGTTGGTCATTAAAGAATAAATAAGGAAATTTTTACCAGATTTGCATCAAGTTTTAACTCGAAATTAAGGTGCCAGGATTTATGATTCTTACTCAGAGAAAAAATTGAATCCAAGTTGTCTTGGTTCTCGAGAGTTTTCAATTTCAAGTTGTTGACAAATTCAAAATAAAGGTTCAAGGGTGGATTCATAAGATACAAGGGAATTTGCAATTTTGAAAAGGGGCACTAACTCAAGAATTAAGAGTTCACAAGAATTAATAAGCTACTATAATTCATTCTTTTAAAGCATAAGTTGGTCCAAGATGGCACGCAGAGAATTAATTCCAAGTACAAGATCATTGTTTACAATAATTTCTAGATTATCCTTTTACAGTCCTAATTCTTTTGGAGATGATCTCAAGTTCCTGCTTGAAGCAATGGAAACTGATGTGGTAGCTGCCGTATCAAGCTCAATGGAAGTCGTCATTCCAACTCTACTGATATCCGATCCTGCCACCTTCAAACTTCCAGAGGTCATGTCAGGTCACCCAAATAAGTCTGCAAGGAAATTAAGTGTATCAGTGGAATATTCATCGAACAACAACAGGTTTGTTATCAAAATGCAAACAGCAGTTCAACGCATTACTTTAAGGACAATCACTACCTCAATGTAAGCAAACATAATTTGAACAACTCAACTCAAGAACAGTTTCAGACAGCACCAGTTGCAGCACAGGGTTTTCGAATTCAGTGTAACAAGTGGACCATTATAGTCTGTTTACTGTTGGGAGAAATTCCTGAGACGACTATCTTCGTGGAGAAAGGAATGGAGAAAGTTTTAAGGCCTTACTTTGAACTTACCAATGCTGTCAAGATTGGTGATTTAGAGTTGTTTCGGATTGTTGCAGAGAAGTATGCTACCACTTTCAAGAAAGACGGAACCAATAATTTGATCGTTCGATTGCGTCATAATGTCATTAGGACTGGTTTGCGCAACATCAGTATATCATATTCTCGCATCTTGCTGGCTGATGTAGCTCAGAAGTTGAGGTCGAGCTCTGCAGATCCCATTGCTGATGCAGGAAGCATTATATCAAAGGCTATCAGTGGTGGAGCAATTGATGCAACATTGGATCATGCTAATAAATGGATGTTGTCCAAGGATACTGGAGATATTTACTCTACAAATGAGCCTCAGTTGGCCTTTAATTCTCGGATTGCCTTCTGTCCTAACATGCACAATGAGGCTGTTCAAGCACTGCGTTTTCCAAAAAAAAAAACACATAAGGAAAAGGAAACAGCCGAGAAGCGCAGACGGAGACAAACAACACACAGAAAATGACAGCTATTTGAACCGTCGAGCAACAGAAATTGAAGCTTCCCCAAATCGAAGTAGCATACGTCATTTGTCGCTAATCACATAAGCCAAAATGTATCAAGCAAAGGGCTTCGCGATGAACTGTGAGAAACTTCGAACTTGCCACAATATTTGATACAGACTTTACCTCATCTTCAGGACAACTTTGAAGTCGGTTTGATTCTTCTAAATTATCGGCATGCTACGGAGTTTAGAGCACCACAACACCAACTTCGACATACTGTTGAAATGTGAAAACTCTTTTAGCCACTGCAGTTTCCTCGACCTGTCAAACAAAGAGAATCATTTCAAGTGATGCACAACCTCAACTTACCCAGCAGCAGGTCGCTCCCAAAAGTGAATTTACCAACTACATAGCCAGGAGTTAGTTACCTGTGAAAGTCAGAAGAAGCTTCAGAGAGTCAGCGTGCTTTAGGCGAGGCAACTTCCGGTGCTGACCTGCACGACAGTAAACATGAAAAAGTGAAAGTTGAATTGATCTTTTCTCTAACTCAATAACAATGCCTATATTAAGCCTTATCGGAACTAGTGATAGTTTACCGGATGAAGACCATCTTGTGCAGATGTATCATGTCCAAACACAAGCTATTCAACAGCGCGGATTCAATTTATCACAATGTTTGCCTCCACCGCAAGTTCAACCAAGAACTTCTGAAATGTTATGAATTTATCTTCAGATGGTCATAGTTTATCAAAAATTTTGGTATCAGATACTGAGATCAAGCCAAGTGATTTACCTTCTCATAATGGTTTTGAACATGTCCATGTTGCTCCACCACCACTCTACCATCCAAAGCTTGGTTACTGCATAGAGCATGGAAGTCAAGTTAAAACTCAAAATTAACCACATCAAATGATTCATATGAAGACCAGAATGTCAAGGTGTTTGAAGCTTACCTTGTTTAACCAATCTCCAAGCTTCGAAATTGTCGCAACCCTCCTTGCAACATCATGAATCTTCAGACCATCATCTCGCAGCAGTTCCCCAAGCTCCTGCATCAACACATGCCCAAGAAGCAAAATTGTAACAATTGCTATTGGATGCCTCAGATGTGCCCTTACGAACATTCCCACCGCCTAAACATTATGTGATCATCCATTTGTGCAAATGGTGACCAGATACACCTTGCTTTGTAATCAGGATTGTTCGACAGTTATAAGGCAAATCTCGGCCAATAGATTGGTTTAGTTTCTTCAGAAACTGGACTCTATCCATTCCAACACGTCTATTTTCCTTGAAAAGTTGAACGCGTCCTTGGCATCAGTAGATTCGATTTCAGCCTCACCAATTCCGCTACCCTAACTGCCCTGGACTGTTAACTCTCTTTTGGGCCCAAATCCTTTTGTTATTCACACCTGCCAAGCCAAAAATCAGAGTTAGTAAACCAATCGAGGAATATACCCCATTCGAAAATAAGATCCCATCAGATTCCCTAGCATCAATGAAAGATCCTTCAACTCAAATCACACAATATTGATTCTCATCAACAACATTGAATCCAATCGAACGAGAAAGGAAATATTTCAAATCTGATTTATCCCAAAAATGGAAAATCCAATCAATATTCAAAGCAGCAATCAAATTTCAATCAAGACATTTCATTCTGAAACCTATAAAAAGAGACCTAAGAAGTGAAAGAGAATTGATTGGAAAAACACCACAAAACCCATGTTTGTAAACCTAACCGACTGAGAAGAAAACACTTATCTCTCCTGTCGACGAAGCCATCGCACATCGCCGCGAGTCCAAATTGACGAAGCTCCCATCTCGTCGTCTCAAGCTCCGCCGTCCTTAATCTTTGGTAAAACTGTACTCTTGGCATGATTATCGAACGTTTTGATTGTTTTGTGCTGTGTTTCAGATTCAAAAGAAAGGGCGAAAGGAGATGAAGGAGAATGAAGATGACGAATGGCGATTTGGGGAAGAGAGGGT